GGACAAAAATAGTCCTGAAAGCGAGCTGTGAGCCTCTCCCGCAGCTCCTGGGTGATGAAACTCAGAATGTCTCTGAATTATCTGGTGAATTAATTATCTGATGAACGTGACATGCTCTTGTTCTCTGTAAATAAAGCAAAGCCACTTCCTCATCCAAAATTAAACAGAGCCCGACAGAGGAGGGAGGGGCGGGGAGGCTCTTGCCGTGTAGTGCTTCAAGAGCTGACCTGCATCTGACCTCAAAGTGCACAAGCGTCCAACTTGAAGCGTTGGATGCAATTTTGACGCTGAAATCGCGTTCGGTGTGAACGCAGCATCAGGATGTACCAAACTGTAGATTTTACCACTCCTAATATTGTTGCAGTTTCTCGGGTATTTTTTTTTCTGTTTTCACAGCTTAAGGATGGCTTGTTTCAGCTCCTTTGATTGCATGTTCTCTTCACAGTAAAATCTTCTAATCTGCTTCATTAAAATGATATAATGAAGAAAATGCCCCCACTTGCCCATGAAATAGCCTTTGAGTCAATTCAATTGACCAATTGTTTTTGGTCCCTTTAAAAGCAAGGTGGGCACATGTTAGGGAGCTGAACTCCTAAACCCTTCATCCAGTTTTAATGTGGATACCCTCAAATTAAAGCTGAAAGTCTGGATTTTATGTCCAGTTATATATTTAAAAAAATCTATTTTGTGTCAGTGTCCAACTTGGACCTAACTGTATTTAAGCCGGTATTTGAAAAATCCATATAATAATGAAAGTATGAAGTGGTATACCGCCCAGCTCTAAAACATTTTTACTGATAAAGTTTAACCACAAGTTGCACTTTCTGAAAACACGTACAGAACTGTTTTATTTAAAGGTTTTAAATACAAAACAGTGGACTGAATGTTACTTTTTCACACAAAACTGCATAATCACAATAAAAAGTTTTTACACTGTTTAAAAACACTGTAACCAAGTGGGTAGTGTTTATATTTAACCACTAGGTGGGGCTGGTGAGCCTCAGACATCTAACACATAATCATGTCTGCTGGTTATCATCGTCATGTAATAAAGTTTTTAAAATATTATTGGTCAAAAACTGATTACAACAAAGGCACAGAGGATGATGGTGTGAGAAGGCTGGCCATTATTTGGTCTTTGTGATTTTTCTCTGCAATTTTATTTTCCTTTAAATTTAGAAACTTTTATAAAATTTTGGTAAAATAATTTCAAGACACTTTTTTTTTCATTCCCTAATAGAATCTGCATTCAAAGTTTATTCTTTGGGTTTTTAAATGTGGGAAATTTAGTTCTTAAATATGAAATAAATGTATTAAATTTTAAAGTATAAAGAATATCTAAACACATTTTAAACTTTTAAGCTTTTTTTTTAGATTACAAGGCATTTTGGGTAACCATCAGCAGAACTCAGTAAATATCACTAAATGCTTCTGGTTTTATCCTTTGTGTGGAGGCTTTGACAAATTATATGTCCTATTAAAACAAGAATACCTCTTTTACTGAAGCACAATTAAACTAATGTATTTAAAACCCACAACTTGGTTTGGAGTTTGTAACTGAAATGACTGGATTCAGGTTTGTTTGTTTTTTTTTGACAGACGTGTACTGTAAGCCTATATCTGTTATTGTTGAGACAACGTGTTTAAGTTTCAGTATAAAAACTTCACAGAATCTCAACGATGACGTAAAACTTCTGCAATATCAAAACTATGTAAAGCAGTAATGATGAAGTAAACAAGTTACAGAATTAGCATCAACACAAATAGGGTGACCAGATCCTGAAAAAACAAAAACGAGACAAAAATGCAGCTCATGAGGGACAATGTGGAACACCTCACCAGTGCTATGACGTCATCGCTTTTAATTTATTTTAGATTTCACATTATGTTAATTAATCTCTGCTTTGGCTTAAAAACGTTCTTTAAAGTTTAATGTTTATTAAATTTAGCATGATAAAACTGAAGAACACAAAACCATAAGCAGGTCCAGGTAAGTCTAAATTAGGGTTTCTTTGACAAAAGGCCCAGTCCCAACGCTCAGTGCGCACCCTGCGCCGCTCTGTGAAGTGTTGATTCAGTCCAAGTGCACATAAGTGTTCGCGTGCGCAGGTTACAAGAGTGCAAAAAAATTTAATTGGGATGGTACGGATTACGTCATCAACTTGCGCCTCTGCGTTGTAACTGCGACATCCAACCAGTCACTGTTTTGGCATTTGTGTCGCTAAAAACTATAGTACAACTACAAAAATWAATTGATTTTAGGAGGAGAAAGTGCATGCAGCAGCGAAGGGGGTTTATACATCAGAGTATGAGAACTAACTTCTTTTAGTTATATTGGTGGTTGGCAGACTAAGTGCATTACTGCCACTACTCAACTGAAAGGTGCTCAGTGGACATTGCCATATCTGCCTTTTAATTCAAAACGTCACACACAGCCATGAGTTGTGAGTAATACACTTCGCCAAAGTCCGTAAAAATGCGGACTTCGCGTAAGGGCAGAAATAGTACCCAAAATGGGCGGGGCAAAGGGCGGATGTGGAGAATGTGGGACACACTACGCACTCAAACCCTTAAACATGAATGCGCATTTGAAGTGCACGAGGGTGGCAGTGCGGATATTGAGACAGGGCCATAGTTTGGATCACATTCATACCGCAATTTTTATTATTTTAGCACAGTTGTGGAGGCGTGCAGGATGTCTACGTGCTGCAGTGCGCTGTGATTGACAGCTGATGCTGCGTCGCCTCATAACTCTGTTTTCTCCTTCTGCAAAGGAGGCGGAGAGAAATAAGAAGACATTATCTAAGGGTTAGAAATTGTTGCTAATAAATAACCTTTGAATTTTATTTATTTATTTTTTTTACTTTTCATAATTTGACATGGTTAAATGCAGTGGTGGGCACAGTTCCCCTAAAGCACTAATAGGGAAACTTATTTCCTGATTAGTGCTTTAGGGTTTATGCTAATTTTAGAATTTATTAGTGGATTAGCACTTGCTAAATTTATAGGCTAAATTTAGAAGCACTAACTGAGGTCTATAAATGTTATTGATCAAAGTTCATGTTAACAGTTGACGGTGAAAGCTGTCAATCATTTTGTTCATTTGTGTCACTGATCCATTAGGTGACAAATTGACTAAAATGAACTCAAATACAGCTGAGGAATGTCAATGATAAGTCTTAAGAGAGCAACATGGTAACATGTGACTCATGTTGTCTGTTGAATGTTCATGGGTTGACTGGGTTATTTTAGTGCTTTAGAATTAGGGGACCTAAATATTTGAGTTAGTGTTTTAGGGCTAGTGGAACTAATTTTTAGATTAGTGCTGCCCACTACTGGTTAAATGCAGGACAGTCCCACGCAGTTTGGATCTGGTCACCCTATTTAAACATGAACCTGTATTGTGTCAGTCTGGATGTTTATCCTGTTGATGCCCAACATAAACATTCAGTCCCTCTCACAGGCTTTGATTGTGAACCTCCGTGCTTGTGCTGAACTCCTCCCTCTGCCCCTCCTCTTCCTCCTGCCTCCCCTCGTGCGAGTAGTGCGCCACAGTCTGGTGTCTGTTCCTGGACGGGGCGTCTTTAAAGCGCAGGCCGCAGTCCTCGCACGCGTAGGGAAGCCCCTCTCCGTGACTGCTGGCGGCCCCTCCCTGTGACTTCCCCTCGTGTTCGCCGTCGGCCGAAATCCGCTCCGGAGCCGCGCGCGAGTCCGAGCCGCTCTGTGTGCCGGGCTTAACGTTTACGGTCCTTGGACGCCCCGGAGAGTGACCCGACGGTCCTGGATACGCTCCTCCCTCCCCGTCGTGCTCCGGGGTCAGGCCGTGGACCGTGCGGTAGTGGAAGCGGATCCCGGAGCGGTTGGAAAAGCCCTTCTCGCAGATGCCGCAGGTGAAGGGTCTCTCCCCCGTGTGGATGCGGGTGTGCACCTTCAGCGCCCCCGACTGGGTGAAGCACTTCCCGCACTGGCTGCAGCTGTAGGGCTTCTCCCCCGTGTGGGTCCTCTGGTGAGCCCGGACCCCCGCCAGGTGGGGGAACCCCCTGCCGCAGAAGCCGCAGGAGTACGGCCTCTCCCCCGTGTGAATCCGCCGGTGGATCTTCAGGGCTCCCGACTGGCTGAAGCTCTTCCCGCAGTCGGCGCAGGAGTAGGGCCGGGCGCCCGTGTGCACGTTCTGGTGGATGCGCAGGTTGCTGTGCGAGTTGAAGGCACGGCCGCACTCCGTGCACAGGAAGCCCGGCGGCTTGTGGGCGTGCTCCGAGCGCTGGTGCTGCAGCAGCTGTGACGGCCTGGGGAAGGTGGCCGCGCAGTGCATGCACGGGTGCGGCGGCGGCGGGGTCCTGCCCGTCCCGTCCTGCGGCGGCGCCCGGCCGTGCTGGCAGGCCTGGGGGCACGCAGGAAAGGAGCACATGCAGGGGAAAGGCCTGGAGAGCTGCGCGGAGCGGGCGAGCTGAGGACAGGGGACGCAGGACGTTAAGGGGCAGTGGTGGTGGTGGAAGTGGTGATGGGTGTGAGCGAACGGCAAGTCCCGGCCTTGCTGGCCGCTCAGGAGCTGAGGGCAGCTCTGCAGGCTCCGGTGGCAGCACAAGCAGGGGATCACAGACAGGTGGGTCAGAGGCGCTTTCAGAGGAGCTGCGCCGGAGTGTTGGGTCCGGCTCCGAGCGCCGCCGTCCGCGTCGTCTCTCCGGGGTCGACCGGGCGGGCCCGACTCGGACGTGGAGCTGCYGCCGCCGGGCACGGTGGTGTCAGGGGGGCACATGCTGAGGCTGAGGTCCTCCGGCTGGCATGAAGCCGGCAGATACGGYGACGAAGACACGGCTTGTCGGGGCGTCAACGTTTCAAAGAAAGGAGGAGAGCTGGAGAACGGGCAGCCAGGACAGGTGCAACCAGAATGCGCATCTAAAACTGAAAAATAAATACAAATGTTACACAAATTAAAGCTTTAGTATCATTTAAAAAAGTATATCACCCACCAACTTTCAGGACTGAATTGTAAGTTAAGATAACCTCATGTTTAGAAACAAGAGAAATTCCACTGYGAATGCTTATTGCTGAATAATTTAGCTAAGCTGCTAAAGAAACCAAAACAACTTAAATTGAATTTTAACAGTTGAGGTTGAACATAAAATTAGCAGAGCGATAGCAGAAATGAGCTGAAGAACCCAAACTGTGAAAACAAAAGCTTCAGGRGGAAGAGAACAGCTGAAAATGTGCTGATAAAAWGTAAAAAGGAGTAGAAATGAATCTGATGAGAGCAGAAAGTGAGAGGAACAAAAGAAACAGACTGAAGTAGCAGAAGAAATTAAACTTAGCAGAAAAAAACAGAAAAGTGTCAGGATGATGGCTAAAATGGCAGAAAAAAAAGCTGAAACCAGCAAAATATAAACTGAAATTAAAAAGCAGAACCAGAAAATAAGTAAAGATTTATGAACATTTTGAAAGGTTTTAAGGATGTTGTAGACAGCTTCATTTATTTTCAATGTGAAAAAAAATGGCAAAAAAAGCTAAATATCTCCAAGAGAACAAACTGCTGAAATATCAAACGTTATARCCRGAATGTCCTGAAGCAGCTGAATGTTTTGATGTAAAGATTGTGTGGTGAATGACTCTCAGCTACTCAAGTGATACTTGAGTAAAAGTACAAGTATCTTACCAAAAATTACTTTGGCAAAAGTTAAAGTCTCCTTTAGGAATATTATTTGAGTAAAAGTCTTAAAGTATCTGATATTTTTTGTACTT